CTAAACTTCGTTATTAGCGGGGACAACCACGTTTCTCGGGGACCACACGCCTTATACGCACATATACGAACTCTCATCCCCATCGCACCGCGTGGGCTCCAGGATACGCATCCTACGTTCTTCCTCGCTTAGAACAGTCTGTTGGTGGTTTTCGGGGAAACACTCAGGGCTATTGATATGCTGTATACGGTTGCCTTTGCAGAGTTGGATGAGTCCGTGGATGATGGATGACCACGCTGCCACGCCTCTTACATAACCCTCTCGAGGTAACCTTATTTTTAAGGGTATCTTGTTCGTCGAATCATCTAGCGCTCTATACATTCCTGCCCTGCTAGGCTGGACCCCGATACTACTTTACCACGTTTTGATTTTGCCGGCTGTTCGATTAAGACGGGGCTAAGATTGTTTCGTAGGGTAGTGGGTCGATTTTGGAGCGATGTATTTGTGGGTTAAAAGGTAGGAAGTGTATCACCATCGTGGCTTTCAGAACGTGTAGTGGAAGAAATATCACGCTGTCCGTCTACGTGATTTCCTAGTACCACCTTTCCCAAAACCCGTCTTCCCACCAACTCACCTCACTCCCACACCCTTCAATCATTGCCACTTGCCTAGGTATGCAATGCAACCCACGCTTTCCACTTCCCACGTTTCCACGCTGAACAAGCATCATTCCACGCATAACGGAAGTATTCCTACCCGCATGCACGACCAGAGAACAAATAGCGCCAGTAGTATGAAGCCTCTACGTGCAACATCCCGTCTGGAAAGTCTAGCATGAGGGGGGTACAGTCATCACGCATACTGCAACCCCCACCAGCAGTCCAAACCCCAAACCCACTCCCATCACAGCCTCAAAACCCGCCATCGCCCCTCCAAACTCCAAACTTCCGTGTAAAGACAAAGATACCTACCTACATAGGGAAGGTAGTGCCAGCACCGCCCCAAACATTAAATACCGCGTATACCACCCCCTGCAAAACACAAGTACGTGTGAAGTGGAATGGCATACAACGTTCGTGACACGCACACCAGACTCCCAGCATCCAGCATAGTGTCTATACCGTAAGCGGGAACATACGAGAAACGAGCTCGGGAGTGGCACGAGAGATTGACGTCCAACCCAGAGAATCGTGATGTCCTTATCAACAAAACTCACCCGTACCTAGATGGGCAACCCCATGGAAGCGTAAATGGTCTTTCTTACTATAGCATGAGAGCGCCGAAATCACCATGCTTAACCTTCTGCCTACCTTAACCTTGATCCACAAAACAAAATAGAAGGTGAAGCAGAATGCAAAATGGGTATTCCCAACTCATCTCATCTAACTTTTCCCTCCCCTCTGTGCCTTCTTCACCTTTCACCAATCCCATGCCCCAATCCTTATCCCTTTTAAAAAAAACCCCTAGTCCGTAGACCAAAAGTACATCGCATAATTACAATTCTCATATTCCGAAGCCATCTTTCTAACTTACATAACTTTCAATCACTCCTACCTCCACCCCCCCAGTCTGTCCCCCAACGCAGGAACCTCGCACAACTCGGGTATTCTACGCACCAATCCTCACATACCCATTCCGAACAACCGGCGCCTCCAACCTCTCATTATGTCTAAAATTTTGAGTTGTCTGTATCGCAGGCGCGACATGATCAGCAAGATCCATATACGAGTCATCATCATCCATATCGGCGTCGGCATCGGCATCGATATCGCTTCCCAGATCAAGAACATTGGTCTGCGCTAGCGGCTGTCTAGGGATCTGATCTTGGCTCGTCTTCGGTGGAGGTTGTGGAATAGGGGTGATAGGTGTTTGGATGGTAGGCGGGGCGGATGCGGTTGATGGTGCTGATTCCCCGCTTAATGAGCGTTGGGCGGCGAGACTGTTGCCATTACCTCGGGCTTCTTTGACGACGGTTTTCCAGCGTTCCATGGCCCGGCTGACGAGGGTATCTAGATGCATGTGTTTGTCTTCCAGGTTATATCCGACTAATTTTTTCGTCGTTGTGAACTCGCCTAATCTGTGCATGAGCTCGCCTGAAATTGGGACGGTAGTGGGAGACACCAGTCTGAATTCTCTTGGATATTGCAGTCGATTGAGTTCGTCTATCTGGATCTTGAGATGCGCAGTTTCCTGATGACTAATTTCCAAATCCTTTTTAAGTTTCGAAATGTCTTCGGATTTCCGGCCTAGACCACGGGCCATTTCCAACATCCATATTTCCTGTCGTCTGGCTGGCTGTAATGAATTCCATTGGGCGTATACCGCATGTAAATGTGTTGATATTCGGGTTTCGAACTCGTTTGCCTCTGCTTCCGCCCTCGCTGTCATTTCTGCAGCTTCATCTAAAGTCTCGAATGCATCTGAAGGAGGATATGACATATCATCCATAGGTACGCGACCTAGTGAACATGCCACTCGGAATCTGTTGAATTCCTTGGAAAAGTGTTCCCGTAAAGCTATGTATTGTTGGTCATCGGGTGGTTGTACAGACCATGAAGAGGAGGTGGATATTGGAATGGTTTGATATAGTGTAGGAGGTGGAGGTAGACATCGAAGGCAAAGCGCGGGGAAATCGAGAGTTAAGGGGTCATAGTCGAATGTTGGTGGTCCGTCAACTCGAGTTCTGTACCTGTTAGATAAATCCTCTCTTATCACCAGTAAACATACCTAGCTGCTCGGACTGCCCCCACGAGCTCGCGCAGCGCCAATTCTGCAGCCTTTGCGTTGTCCAGCGCCTCCATCATCTTCTGTTTCTGCTCAAAGGTCGTTTTCGCCAGCATCTGCTTGCTCACAGATCGCTGTCTATTTTCCAACCTCCTACCACCATCCCTCTCAAGATCGTCCCCACTCCTTGATGATTCTCCATTTTTGACATTTGGAATAACGTTCATCACCCCCGTTGCTTCCCAAGTAGGCATGTTAACATGCCAGCCCGGCTTCCGCGCTGGTGGACGCTCTGCCTGCTCATCATCTCTCCTCGTACTTGGTGATCTCATTTCGCGCCCCGAGTCAGGACGAGGACTCCTCCTGTCGGCCACACTGGGCGTGCCAGCTGATGCAGACCCTTCTCGTCTCGACGTGGAACTTCTCGGCTGTCTCCTCGTAATTCCCCCTCGCATTTTCCTAATCTCGTCCACATCATGTACACCGTCTTGAGGTTTGGGGTTCTTCGGTTTTATGTACAGGTCGAGATGCCGTCCTAGGGAGGAAGAAGTGAATTGCTGGTGACAAAAGGGACATGCTTTGTCTTTGGATGCGCCGGCCTTGCCTCCATTGACTGAGGTATCTGCGTTCGAACCAGGGGTTCCCATCTGTTCGGTCATATCTTCGTATGCGCCCTGTGAGCGGCTTTACTGTCGCATTGGTATGAGGGGTTGTAAGAATGTGAAAAGGAAACTGCTTGAGGATGATTGAAAAAGAAAAACTGGAGGGGCATGAAGGGTCAATTAAAGAAAGTAGAAGCGGAAAGGATCGTGGTTGTGGTGGGAGACAAAGTTTGTACTGGAGGGAGTTGTGTAGATAGAATTCAAGGGGTTCTGCAGCTCTCTCATCCCGTCTTGGGAGGCGGTCGGCAAGTGGAGGGCAGTGAAGGCCACTGATTCGGCTTCAGGGATTACGAGGGATCCATCCCGCTACGTCCCCAGTGGTTATCGGTTATTTTAGGGGAGACACGACACGAACTTCAGAGTCGACAATCGCCATCGCAGAGCTTCCCGCATTCCCTGCATTGACTGGTGTGCTTGAATCCTCCGTATGGATCTTTGTGAAACTGCTGCAGTGCTGTTAGATGTAACTGTATTACTCATTGTTGTGTTGCGCCCAGCATAATTATCATTGGGATCATTATCGGGATAAGGGTCTTGCAGTGGACGAGATACGGTAAGTGGCAGTAACCTCTGACTAACCTATTAGCTTGAATTATACCTCAGCACAAGTTGGTTGTCTCAATCAATTCAGTTTTAAGCGGTGTTTTAGGATGCTCTATGTACTGTAAAACATTAGAGGAAATAAAAAAGTCGGTGTCAAAATCGTCGAATCACAATCCATCCATCTGTCTCACTACACCGTCTACATGTCCGCCGAGGGTCTAGAGCCGCAGTCGCGTTGGGTAATGTCCGGATGGGCAACTCTGGAACATTCATAATTAACTCTCCTCATCACCTATCTCGGTATTCTGATTCTATACTTTTGCATATGCAGAGTCATTCATGTTTCCTACATAGGTAGAGCTTAGCCACCATGGTCGCACACCAGTCGAGTCGCATTCAGTTCCATCACCTACTCGGGTCTATTCAAAGCCCTCAATATGCGTTGGGTATATCACCGAGGCTGAATTGCTGATACGAAAAGGATGGCAATTCCTGTCAATCACTCGTGCGCGCTTAAGTCTTCAGAATAGTAGTGATAGATTGGGTGCTGAAATCCGAGGCAGAATAATAATCACTGGGCAGAAAGTCCCACGACACAAAAACACCAGTAATCGGGCGACTCAAGAGCCTCTATTGTGTATTTCAAATACCTTGAGACACGATTGGCTACAAGCCTTTGCAATGCCCCTTCCCAGATCTTCGGGATTCTAATGCTCTAATCGTGGCCAATGCGCCGTATAAAAAAAGAACAGCCACGTTTGGTATCGTCGATCACTGCAACAAAGGATCCTAAAATTTTGTTAGCGACCAAGTAAGCGACAACATTGACAGAAGAACTTACTCTGAAATGCTTTTGAAAATTGCCTTGTTTGTTGTTGCCCCATTGGAATTTTCTCTGCTCGCGTTGTTCCACCTTTCTAGCTCTCTTCTCTTCCAACTTCACTTCTCGCCTCTTTTCATCACTAACACCGATCATTCCAAGTCCACCATTTGCCCGACTCGTGATAGCTCTGCCACGCTCTCCATTCTGGCGCGCAACCTGTCCACCTTCCATCGTCTCGTCTGAATCAGAAGATCCGGCCTCGAGACGCAATTGCTCTTGTTCTTGTCTCTCAGCAGCCGATGGATGGTTATGAAGGTTCTGTCTATAATACTTATTCAGCGAACGATGGCCCGCAGTTCGTCCAGAAGGAAGATGAAGTTCGTAATCGGTGTAAAAAGCGGCGTGGTTGTGTTTGTGGGCGTGCGAATGCCAGCCATCTTTGTTGTGGTGTGGGCGAGGATCGGTATGAGAGTGGTGAGGATGTTCATGGAGTTTATCATATTGATGCTGGCGCTGGTCGAGAGGAACTGCTGTAAGATCGGCTGAGTCAAGTGATGATGCTGAGCTGTCGGTTTCCCAGCCGTCGCCTTCTTCCATCTCCTCGTCACCATCTTCATCTGCTACCTTGGGCTTACGTCGAGCACCAAGTTTTACACCTCCACTCTGTTTCTTTCCAGGTAGCTCGCCTTCATCATCTGACTCGTCCTCGACATCAGAGTAGGTGCTTGTGAAGTCGTAAAATTCTCCAATCTCAAGTTGCTCATCTTCCGTTCCGAACGGGATCTTGCAATGGCCCTTGTCGCGCATATGTGTCTGAAGTCCAAAGACCGAAGGCTTCAGCTTGCCGCAGTACAAACATTCGTGATATTCGTATATCTTTTCGTGTAACGAGGCGACCAATCCTTCTAAATTGACCAAATAAGGCTTTTCGGGAATGAACATGCCATGAATCTTCTCCATGTGGTTGACGCTCAATTCCATAGAAGGAGACTCGTAGTTGCAGAAGAGGCAGCGCTTCAAGGCAGTCTCACGGGGTATCTCATCATCTGCTGCCGTCACAGAGGAAGCCGTCTGGTCGGACCCTTCTTGCTCGACAGCTGATTTTGATGACCCAGCTACCGAAGGTGTGTTTTTCAGCCCAACATTCTTGATTCCGTCCGCAACTGCACTGACGCTATCTTCTTCCTCTGAATCACCATCCTCCCCTACTACAGCCGGCTCACCAAGGGAGAAAGTAGAACTCATGACTGAGCTTGCATCATCGTTCACGCTTTGACTGCCAGCGTAAGCCAATTTTGCCTTGTGTTTTGCGCTTCCGATATGGTTCTGATAGGCGTTCTCGCTGAAATATGTCCTTGCACAGACGGTGCAAGTCTTCTCGTAAGCTGCCTTTGAAGCGGCGGCGGTATTTGATGCTTGTGCCTGTAAAACCTTCTCGGTGAAGACTTCAGAGGAGATGGGTGGGAGGGAAGTGACGCGACGCTTCAGATTATATCGGCTATGGGAAAAAGTCAGTTCCACTCACTCCGCAATACTATCACAGAAGCTTACTGCCAGTCACTTCTCATGTGGCCCCGTTGAAGTTCACTGTTTCTGAACGCCACTTGACAAGTGTTACAGGTATATGGGTGAGTCGAAGACACGTCTGGTTGCGCAGCAGCAGGTGCTCTGCTGGCGGTAATAGAAGCCATTTTGTTGTCGTTTAAACGCGAACTGTTGTATGAGTGAAGGCAAATGTGAGAGCGATGCGATTTGAATCAGAAGTTTCAAATTTCAAACGCACGAGCGGGCGACCTTGGTCTTCTCTAAGACAGATTAAAAAGCGACGATATTCGGTAGACGCTTGACTTTGTTATCTATGGGTTTGGGGGGCGAATGTGTCGCAAACGAAGTTCGTCGAATGTTGACAAATAAACTTTGGAAGAGGAAGAACGGAGGGGTAGAAATGGTCTATTTCCTGAGGCGGGCAAAAACTTTGGTGGGGGTTCTCGAACTTCCGGGTGTGTCACGATTTTCGCTTGGGCAAGAGACTGCGTCATTCTTGGCGTTCAAAGACGCTTGTCTGGAGCATTTCCAGCAACTTCATAATTCCATGACTTGACGTATAGTACAATGAAAACTACAGAGATTTCCGCATATACCTAACTCTTTAGCTCGTTGTAGATGAATAGAAACATATAACTGATCAACCCGTAAATTTTTGACGTACGAATCGTCTCTCTGTAGGCCATCTGCTTGTTCCGCAACGTTATTCCGTGCCGCGGCCGCTAATCTACTTACGGAGTAGCTCCTAATCCCAGTCATGGAGGCTCTACGGCAGCCTTACCGCGTTCCGCACCCTGACAGAAGCTGGAACGCGAGGAGGATCTGACAAAGGCATCATCCTCCACAA